TCGATGAACGGTGTTACCGTTGTTGCTAAAAGTAGAAATTTCTGTGAAATTCTTTCAATATACCATAGACATAAATCGAAATCGAAGGGACTGCCGACTCTCTGTGGCGGGAAAATATCTTCTTCTGTTCGCAGCGCCCTCACCGGGATGCATAGAAAACTTCCGGTTTATGACGTCTTATTATTGTTCACCATGTCTTCCGAGCAAGATATAGATAATTTTGAGGAGTTGTTTCAGGTAATTTGACCTTTGCATTTTTAGCTCTACTGGTCAGAGACCAGAAGAGCTTATGCGATAGTAATGCGTCCGTCGTCCGTCCGTCCGTCTGTCTGTCTGTCTGTCTGTCTGTCCGTCTGTCTGTCTGTAAACAATTTTTCAAAATGCTACTCCTCCTACAGTTTTGGTCCAATTTCAATATAACTTGGCACACAAGTAGACTACACTAAGATACATAATTCTGTGTATCGGTTTTTGATTTCGATGAACGGTGTTGCCGTGGTTACTAAAAATAAAAATTTCTGTGAAATTCTTTCAAAATGCTACTCCTCCTACAGTTTTAGTCTGATTTCAATGTAACTTGGCACACAAGTAGACTACACTAAGATACATTATTCTGTGTATCGGTTTTTGATTTCGATGAACGGTGTTGCCATGGTTACTAAAAATAGAAATTTCTGTGAAATTCTTTCAAAATGCTACTCCTCCTACAGTTTTAGTCTGATTACAATATAACTTGGCACACAAGTAGACTACACTAAGATACACAATTCTGTGTATCGGTTTTTGATTTCGATGAACGGTGTTGCCGTGGTTACTAAAAATAGAAATTTCTGTGAAATTCTTTCAAAATGCTACTCCTCCTACAGTTTTAGTCTGATTTCAATATAACTTGGCACACAAGTAGACTACACTAAGATACATAATTCTGTATATCAGTTTTTGATTTCGATGAACGGTGTTGCCGTGGTTACTAAAAATAGAAATTTCTGTGAAATTCTTTCAAAATGCTACTCCTCCTACAGTTTTAGTCTGATTTCAATATAACTTGGCACACAAGTAGACTACAATAAGATACATAATTCTGTGTATCAGTTTTTGATTTCGATGAACGGTGTTGCCGTGGTTACTAAAAATAGAAATTTCTGTGAAATTCTTTCAAAATGCTACTCCTTCTACAGTTTTAGTCTGATTTCAATATAACTTGGCACACAAGTAGACTGCACTAAGATACATAATTCTGTATATTGGTTTTTGATTTCGATGAAGGGTGTTGCCGTGGTTACTAAAAATAGAAATTTCTGTGAAATTCTTTCAAAATGCTACTCCTCCTACAGTTTTAGTCTGATTTCAATATAACTTGGCACACAAGTAGACTACAGTAAGATACATAATTCTGTGTAGCGGTTTTTGATTTCGATTAACGGTGTTGCCGTGGTTACTAAAAATAGAAATTTCTGTGAAATTCTTTCAAAATGCTACTCCAAATACAATTTTAGTCTGATTATAATATAAATGTTGCATGCAAGTAGACTGCACTAAGAACATAAAGAGACTTAATCAAGGATAATTATTCTATCTATCTGTTGAAAAGTTTCAATTTCCAACTGCTTAAGTACTTTTCTCTTCCTTTGCTATAAGTACAAACCAGTAGAGCTTCAGTCTCGACAGAGACTTCTGGTTGAATTTTATAGTACGATTCAGTTCGTAACTTTAGCCATCACTTGTACTACATTTATAATGTGCGCACAGCAGAAATTCTTGTGCAGTAGTGTAAATGTGAACCTTCCATCCTTAAAATGATAATACCCTACGGACCAGTGACGAGATAGTTTGGACTTTAAACGCTAGTTTATAAGTTAAAAGAGGTCTATAGAATCTAATTTTTTTAAATGGGGTCTTATAAATAAACTGGTAAAAATAGAAAAAACATTTTGAACACACTGAATGATAATCAATGAACTGATCTGAGGAACTCGTAGTCGCAGGTCAGGTAATGTACAGGTTCCAGTTTCAAATGGCATTTGTAGCTTTATAAAGCTATTCAGAAAACTTACCCCAAAAGCTGCAATGAGAGAACTATCTTTGATTTTGGTTGATGTTTTGATATCCCATTGTACATATATGAAGAGTCAAATATATATATGCAACTTTTGCTTATTTCTAACAAAAAAAAAAAAAAAAATTTAAAAAAAATGCATATACATAGCTTAATAAAGCTTTTTTAAATTAGCTTAATAAAGCTATATAATTATAGCTATTTTAATGGAAAGATTGCACTGAAATGCACATATCATACTGACACACTGCCTAGTCTATTGACTTGTTTTAATATTTGTTTTTCTCTAAACGAGTCATGAGTGTTTTCACTTTAGTTTTGAAGATCTAGACAAGAAATATTATTTTGGATGAATTGATTAACAAAGAAGTTGGCTGGTCGCTGGTCGTTGTCCAACATTTCATCGATGCTGGCTCATCACTATTTATTGCACTGATCATGCTGATATTGGCTAAGTATTTTTTTCCTCTTAACATGATTAAGCTTCTGAAAATATTTTTGTATAATAGAATACTTGCATTTGTAGTGCATGGACTAAATAATTGAAATGCTTATAATTTTATTGGACTTGTTGAGTTATTTTTTCTCCAAACAAAGCTGGAGTATTTCTACTTTAGCATGTTTAGTTTTGAAGATCAAGACAAGAAATAATAATTCATTCTCAAAATATTATTCAATTGTCAAACTGCTACTATTATAAGATTCAGTTTGCAATTGTGATATATTATTTTGGATGAATTAATTAACAAACAGAAAAGTTGGCTGGTCGCTGGTCATTTTCCAACATTTCATCGATGCTGGCTCATCACTATTTATTGCACTGATATTGGCTAAGTATTTTTTTCTCTTCAGCTTCTGAAAATATTCTTGTGTAATACATGTAGAATACAGCCATTTGTAGTACATTTTTTTTTGTACAACAACATGGACTTTTAATTAAATTAATTAAAATAATTGAAATGCTAATACATGTACATGTATTTAAAATCTTAGCAATGATATTCAAAATCTTACCATATATTTTTAAGGGGATTCTTTTTATTTAAAAAAACCTTTTATAAATCTCACAATATTGGAACATTTACAGGATATTGAGGAGATTATGGGAGAAGACAGGGATGACTCTGGGGCTATGCCAACTACCCTTAAAAGAAGTGTAAGTCCGGGTAAAGTCGTTACTATAGAAATGATTACGCAAGTTTTAGATGCTATTAAAAGCGATGAAATTTTGCCAACCAGTATGCGGACCGCTGTTTCAAGCACACAAGGTAAATTTATAGTTCTTATTACTATACATACACACTACTATCATGATTATGTTATTAATATACATGTGCATGTACTACATATACATTTGTATTGTGTTACATTTATTTCTTATACGTGTATATAGAACCATTCTCAGGTAAGCTTGAACTTTCATGAAGGTGTGTCATATTCTCAATGCTATGTAATTAGTGTCAAATGGTGAATAGATTCTCATTGGTTTAGGAATTAATAACACAAGGAACTTTAAATTGTTGTTAACAACAATGAGATGACTTAAGCTCCACCTCTTTGCCAAATGAGACAATGTTATTGGTTATTAAATACACTAATTGACAATTGCCAGAATTTCTATCCCATGTACATGTATATTTCAGCAGAGAAAGAAAGCTGTGTAAATTTCAGAAGCTAATTATGTAACGTTGAGAATACCACGCCTTACTGAAAGTCCAAGATAAACTGGATATTGTTACTATGTTTTGCAGTAGACGAACTAACATCAAAGCTGGAACAACTGAACGATATTCTACCAGTACCTGTTGGAAGTGGTATATTTTCGTCAGCTGTTAAAGAAAAAGCATGGCATAAGTTTCATTCAATGCTCCCTGCACTTAAGGCAAGTGTGGATGATTTGTTTGACAATATGCAACTTTCTGCCCTGGTTTGTCTCCAAGCAGCTGAGGAGATGTTGAAAGATGGAACATCAGAACCCCAAAGTTCCAGTAGTGATGCTGCAGAAGGTTTGACATCGAATGAAAGAGATATTATTTCTTATGTTGCAGGGTTTGTACTCTTTCGTTGTCAAAAAAAGTTTGTGCAATACCTTCAATTATTACATTAATTGAGAAACTGAAAGATAAGGATGGAAATTCAAAACTGATTTCTGTGAAATCAAGAGGTGGTTTAGTGCAGCCAATCTCTGCATTTATAGATTTTGTAATGTTGTTGGAATTTATCTTTAGAAATTTATGCAATGAGCAACAGTTTTATCTGTTCCTTCACTTCAACATTTCACTGATTCTGTCTGTCAGAATGAAACTGTTGTCAGCGTATTTTATAAATGCACATACCACACTGACACAGACTCTTCTTCACAAGAGAAATTGATGCTTTTTGTTCTGTCTGTGTTCCATAAGGTAAGGTGTCATGCTAAATGTAGACAAACCATGGAAAAGTATCTTGTCAAGACAAAAACAGCCAGAAAACAGAAGTCACTTCGTAAGTCTATTGATTAGATAACCATCCTGAGAGATATAATTCTTTGTAACATTTGATACACCAAAAATGATATAATTATTTGAATGATTGTTACATTAGAGGGCTGTATGTTATATGTGTTTCTCTATGAAAGAAAGTAAAAGGAATCTAGACAACAATATTACTTTAATATTTTTTTTTATATTTAGTGCCTTTTAATGCGTTTCAATGGGATGTTGGATACAACTGTTGGTCTCTTCTCCCCATTTCTGCCAGCTGTATTTCCCTTCAAATTAACAGTAAATGCAAGATCTCTCTGCAATCGCAGTTGGTTTTCTTGATAACTGAAATTATTAATAATTGGTAATAATGATTGATGCTTGGTTTTTTAAATATAATTAGAAGTGTAAAGAAATTATTTGATTAACTATATTTCTCAATCTTTTTTTAAATCTGATGATGAAAGAATAATAGGGCCAATGTGACTCAGGTAAGCACAATGCCCCATGGTCCTCTTGTAGTGAATAGAATGAAGTTAGTTGTACACATTTTACTCGAACCTGAACTGATGAGCAGTAGGGTTGTCGTGCCGTGATCCAAGGCCACGGTGCCTCCCAAAATGCTCTTCAAGTGGATCCTGGCAGAAGTCGTGGCTTAACACATATGGTAGTCCTTGGCCTAACAGGTACTTAGTTGCCTCTATGAAAGCATTCACTGTAAATTCCAAAGCATATTCATGATATATTTTTCCTGATTTAAAATTCTGACATTTTTAGTTCTTGAATTTCTTCTTTTTTTCATGAATACAAATTTGAGAACAAGGGTATTTGACTTGGAAATACCATTTTTCATTCATTATGCATGAAAAAGGTAAGTTTTGCTAAATTGATTGTGAAAAGTTATGTAATGACATAGACATAAATCATATTAGTTCTGAACTTCATGTGCTTCACCTGTCATAACAATCCCCTCATATGTTTGATATGAGAGGAACATTTTGTTTTGTTCAGATTTCGAAAATCCTTGTCTGTTTTTTACTGCCGTCATCCACTGCTCCAGATATCCAAGGAATTCTCTTTGCAGGAACTGAATGACAAAATCAATGTTTAAGTTATTGAATAAGTCAACTATAGATTAAAAGTGACCTACATAGCAAGTGAAGTGATACCTGAAATCTTTGATCATTTTGTACTTTGTAAGGAGCCAGATCCGGTTTCCGAACACGGACAGACTCTTGCAGTGAACGGCCATTCAGGCAGTCAAAGAATCTGTCGACCAGGGAGAAGAATTTTGCAGTTTCAGACATCACTGGTCCATAGTATCCTGCCATGACTCTTGAAACAGAGTCACTCAAAACCTAAATTTATCATTAATCAACTCTTATTAAGGCAAATCAAACCATTCAACATATTATTAAATGAAAGTTAACCGTTTAAGAACAGTTTTTTTAAACCCAATGTTCTCACCTGGGCTGCAAGTCGCACACTCATAGTAGAAGAAGGGGTCAAGTATACATGGTCATATCCCAATTTAGTTCTGTACAGATGCCCTTGAGTGTCATCTCTATAAATTTGTTCAACATGAGTCCATAAGATGTTTTTGTTGTTGTTCTGGAATAATAAACAGTATTCCAGTTTTATCTTAGTTAACAATATGACTAACAGACATATGTAGGATTGAACGGCATCCTATTTTGAACATGATTTTTTTGTTTTCATTTTGATCAATGATTGGAATTTATTGTGAACAAGATACATATTGTGACATATTGGTAGATCCACAAACCCAAAGATACTTTGTTCCCCCAGGCTTTGATTTGTTGATGTTGTTTCGGATAGTTTTAATTAAGTGTGGGGCATCAGAAATGAAATACACGTTTCGAGTCTCGGATGAGTATTGGTTATCGGCTTTGTAGACCACAGCCTCATTCCCTACTCTATGTAGTCTGTACAGGCGTTGATTTGGTGACGCTTTGTCACTGGTGGATGAAATCACCTATGTCATAGATGCTATTTTAGAAATACAAGTACATAAACCAATGTTACTTTTATGCAAGTTCACATTAAGAAGAGATATACCAGACCTTTAGTCAAGATGTCTCTAGATAAGCAACAGCTCTCCATAAAAGAGGATAAAGGACATCTGCTGTTGCAGTTTTAGTTGGGAAGTGACCAATGGACATCTTGATGTGGGAATTAATGCCCACCACCATGAACACAAGGACATGTGAGGCAATTCTGTTGATTTCATCCTTCAATAAACCATGGAGTACATGTAATTGGTAATTAAAAATCTTGATACATGAAATATCAAATGGTCAGAAGCATACCAAGTATATCATGTTCAGTATGTCAAGGTCATATTATTTACAGATTAACATTATGCTTAAATGTTTTGCACAGTTTCTGTACAAGACACACATTTAAATAGACTGATACAATTGTAACTAAAAAATTGGTTTGAGCGAATTGTATGTGAATTTACATATTGAAGTAAACCTCATCAAATTTCCATGAATCTGGGTTTGTAAAGCCTATGACCTGGTCACTTCGTCTATCAAAGACAAGATCTTCTTTTATTTTCATCTCATCATGCAAGAGTGCTACATATCTCTTCTCTGGGGTAAGTTTTCTGCAATCTTTTTTAACTCCTTGAAAATAATGCTGTTTTTATTCTTATTTTTCCTTTTTTTTCAAAGAAGGCATTTTACAAAGTTTTCTCTTATAAATTCCTTGCAAATATTGTATTTTAGTGCTACTTCATTTATTAAAATTCTGGAAAATATTTTCATTTAAATATGCTATACCTCAAATGCTTGTGTCTGAAAACCAGACTTGGGTTGAATAAAGTTTGTGTAGTCTCGCAGTGTGGATTTATTTGGGAGGCGCAAAATGCCAGTTTCCTTAAGAGCTTCATATGCCCTTGAACTTTGGTACTGCAGATAGATGGCAAACCTTATAATCATGGGATGCCACCTCATTCCTGATAAAACATTAAATAGATGGATTATGTACATAATTGGCAAGATAAACTTTTGGAAATAATTTTCAAACAGCCTCTTTTATGGTAAAATCCACCTTTCTCCTACAAGACCCTGCTATATGAAAATAATTTCTTGCTTTGAATTTTTCTTTTATCTTCTCAACATGGAAATATGCACAAGTTACATGTATGTTCATGAAGTTATGCTTTAGTTTCATATATAGTGAGTTCAAAGAATGCAAAAGACTTAAGACTATGGTATGTCCTTTTCCATGCATAAAATAACATAACAAGGTCAGTTTGGGTTAAAGAAAAAATAACTTAAAAGTTGTACTGAAAGCACCCAAAATAAGTCTCGGATCAAAAAGTGAAATATTAGGTCACATAGGCATTATGTAACAAAGAATCTGTGAAAGTCTCATTTAATTAAATTTCATTTAGTGGCTCAGGAGGAGTTGCAGATAAGAGATGGGTTCTCCTAAAGCATAACAGACAGACGGACGGATGGACACCATGATCACTATATACCCTTCCACTTTTCAAGCAGGGGTTATAAAAATGTATGTATACATGTACCTTTAGGACTTTTTGAGAAGGCTTTTTTTTGTTCTTTCCAAAACAGATCCATTAGACTGTTGCCTGGCGTTTTTGACTCTAAAGATGCAAAAAGTCCTTCACCTACATCATCTGCCACCACTGCAGTGTCATCCTGTTTTAAAGACTTTAAGACTTTTTGTAATTTTTTGTTCCCCTCCCTTGCAGCTTTTACTTCTTCGATAAGATTACTTTGTGACAGTAAGGCCAAGGGAGTATTGGGATGCAATTGTCTACTATCACATGTTTGTCTCTCTTTAAGATCCTTAAGCAAGTTTTTGCAATTATCACAGAGGCCGAGCTTTGTTGCGCCTGAGCAGCTATGAGCCCGTAAAATGGCAGTGGTAATTGGCTTACCGTCTCTAATGGTGGTTGAAACAAACCTATACCCTTCTGAGCTCCTCAGCTTCTCCTCAGGAAATTCAGAAAGACCAGGGCATTTTACAAGGTCATCGACTTTTTTAAGATAAGATGCCAATGACACTTTCTCCATCGAACTGGCCAAGCCTCGAACACATACCTCTGATAAATAAAAGGAATTTAAATAGAGAAATATGTTATTATAAAATACATGACATTGTGTGTTTATAGAAAACTTTTATTTAGTTCATTGGACATGCTCTAGGGCACAGTCAATAATCTAGTAAAACCAAGAAGCATAATTTATCTTATGCTTAACCATTTATAATAGAATATTACTGATAGAAAGATTATTTATTGATAGACAGAAAGCACCTGCTTTGTGTCTATTGATCATGTTTTAGCCTTTCAATGTTCATCATGAACCTTCCAAGTCAATACTACAGCTTTACTTTGACAGATAAATTATGTGAGAATGAAATATATGTAGGTTATCTGTTGATGGTCCAGCATTAGTCTGACAAGTAGAAAAGTAAATTAGAACTTTTATAGTAACCAGAAGTCTCTGTCGAGACTGAAGCTCTACTGGTTTGTACTCATTATATAGCAAAGGATGAGACTTAAGCAGTTGGGAATTGAAACTTTACAACAGCAATAAATAGGATAATGATCCTTAAGTCTCGTTATGTTCTTAGTGTAGTCTACTTGCATGCCACATTATATTATAATCAGACTAAAACTGTATTTGGAGTAGCATTTTGAGAGTATATAACAGAAATTTCTATTTTTAGCAACTGTGGCAACACCGTTCATTGAAGTAAAAAACCAATATACAGAATTATGTACCTTATTGTAGTCTACTTGTGTGCCAAGTTATATTGAAATCACACCAAAACTGTAGGAGGTGTAGCATTTTAAAAGAATTTCACAGAAATTTCTATTTTTAGTAACCACAGCAACACCATTCATCGAAATCAAAAACCGATATACAGAATTATGTACTTTAGTGTCACTAGTCTAGTTGTGTGCCAAGTTATATTGAAATCAGACCAAAACTGTAGGAGGAGTAGCATTTTGAAAGAATTTCAACGAAATTTCTTTTTTTAGAACCACGTCAACATCGTTCATTGAAATCAAAAACCGATATACAGATTTATGAAGCTTAGTGTAGTCTACTTGTGTGCCAAGTACTATCGAAATCACACCAAAACTGTAGGAGGAGTAGCATTTTGAAAGAATTTCACAGAAATTTCTATTTTTAGTAACCACGTAAACACCATTCATTGAATTCAAAAACCGATATATAGAATTATGTATCTTAGTGTAGTCTACTTTTGTGCCAAGTTATATTGAAATCAGACCAACACTTCAGGAGAAGTACCATTTTGAAAAATTTCACAAAAAATTCTACTTTTAGTAACCACGTCAACACCGTTCATCGAAATCAAAAACCGATACACAGAATTATGTATCTTAGTGTAGTCTACTTGTGTGCCAAGTTATAATGAAATCAGACCAACACTTCAGGAGAAGTACCATTTTGAAAAATTTCACAAAAAATTCTATTTTTAGTAACCACGTCAACACCGTTCATCGAAATCAAAAACCGATACACAGAATTATGTATCTTAGTGTAGTCTACTTGTGTGCCAAGTTATAATGAAATCAGACCAAAACTGTAGGAGGAGTAGCATTTTGAAAGAATTTTACAGAAATTTCTATTTTTAGTAACCACGGCAACACCGTTCATCGAAATCAAAAACCGATACATAGAATTATGTATCTTAGTGTAGTCTACTTGTGTGCCAAGTTATATTGAAATCAGACCAAAACTGTAGGAGGAGTAGCATTTTGAAAGAATTTTACAGAAATTTCTATTTTAAGTAACCATGGCAACACCGTTCATCGAAATCAAAAACCGATACACAGAATTATGTATCTTAGTGTAGTCTACTTGTGTGCCAAGTTATACTGAAATCAGACCAAAACTGTAGGAGGAGTAGCATTTTGAAAGAATTTTACAGATATTTCTATTTTTATTAACCACGGCAACACCGTTCATCGAAATCAAAAACCGATATACAGAATTATGTATCTTAGTGTAGTCTACTTGTGTGCCAAGTTATATTGAAATCAGACCAAAACTGTAGGAGGAGTAGCATTTTGAAAGAATTTTACAGAAATTTCTATTTTTAGTAACCACGGCAACACCGTTCTTCGAAACCAAAAACTGATACACAGAATTATGTATCTTAGTGTAGTCTACTTGTGTGCCAAGTTATATTGAAATCAGACCAAAACTGTAGGAGGAGTAGCATTTTGAAAAATTGTTTACAGACGGACAGACAGACAGACGGACGGACGACGGACGAATTACTATCGCATAAGCTCTTC